GTGCTGAAGAATGAACAGGCAGACAGACTGGCTGGATCTGCACCACTGGGTGGTGAATTGATCCATGACAATGCAGATGTGGTCAGAGCCCATTAGGGACAATTAACGAAGTCAGAAGAGAAACTATAGCATTATGGGCTGAAGAGAATGAGGTAGCTGGTTGTAACTGGAGGGTTCGGCCGGCTCACTACGCTCAGTGGATAGGCAAGACGGACATACAACCAGATTACGGCTGGCACCATTAGTATTGGAACTCTGCGCTGGCTGCTGAGGATGGGGACGGGGCGTGTATTGGAATTCCCCTAGTGCTGTGATGTCAGTTCTTGACGCAACTCAACTCTTGTAGAATCTCCAGTTTTGACAGCTCAGGGTAGAGAAACCATACAAAGAGACACACAAACACCTGCTGCCCGCAGGTGGTCAACCGCCAGAAGAAGCAATCTCCAATAGTGGTTGACGACATTGGTTGTCTTGAGCCACAGACTTCACCTCACTAAACAGTGATGTGTAACAGGCTCCCTGATAACGTTAAGATGATGTTACCCTAGTCCGTGATTTTGACTGGATGGTCAGTGGTCTTCATCTCTTCTAATGGATGAACAACTTATCATTCTTCTTCTCTCCATCAGCATCCTGTTGTGCCATTCAATACAGCTCCAAGCCTGTTCCCCCAAGCTCGAATTCTATTCCGCGATTCCGTTCTACCTCTTCCAAATCATGGATGGCATCCTATTCAGTACCGGTGATCTCTCTCATTAACGTTTGTTGTAGGGTTCCTCTTAGACGTCCTCTTTTGATTGCGTCAGATTCAACCCCACTAGAACCGCACAACGAGCGATAAACACCAGATGACACAAAAAGCCACCATTCGGATGAAAATCACCCAGGCACAAGTCCCAGAAACCTCGTTCAACCGTTAGTTATATTAGGCCCCTCCGACAATCAGTGGGGTGGGGCGATAAAACAACAACAAAAATGCATCCCATACTAGGACCAGGCTAGAGTGTCATCTTTCCCGCCAGTTTTTTAAACTAACAATGCAGCATAAACAAACATTAACAACTTGTTTTCAAATTGTGAACGTCACTTTACTGAATATTTTTGCAAGGTACAGTTCATTTTAAAAACAGCAAAGTAACTAATAAAATAAAGCCAAAACAAGCGAATGAATTACACAAGGCCATCCTGTTAGTATGAAGCCAGTTAATAAATGAATACAATCTACAAGATTTATTCTACCTTATATTTGGGCAGAGGTTCTCAACCTTCCTAATGCCGCGACCCTTTAATAGTTTTCCTTGATGTGGTGACCCCCAACCATGAAATTATTTTCGTTGATACTTCATAACTTCAGTGAATATGTATTTTCTAATGGTTTTAAGCGACCTCTATAAAAGGGTCTTTCGACCCCCAAAAGGGTCGCGACCAACAGGTTGAGAACCGTTGTATTAGAGGGTTACGGAACCTGGGGAGTGTAAGGGCGTGCTCAGGAGCTCGGCACTACAGCAAGCAGCGTTAAGGTTGACTAGCTTCTCTATGGAGATGCGAAAAGTGAAATTTAAGTAGCCTGCCAATGACCCGTAGAGCACCCAGGTCAGCCTCATCTCTTCGTGGTGCATGCCAGAAAAATGAACCCTCGATGTTTCCGGCTAGCGGGGCAATGGCTCGCCTGGAAGGAGACGGGCACCAACTATGTCAGATTTGTTCTCTGTCCCGCCACGCGACGGGCCTAGCAAGACGGCAGTGATGTATTCGATTGCCACTACTCAAGAAACATAAAATTATTACGACTGCAAATAAAATTTTTTACAGTAGAAAATCTGAGTGAAAGGCGAGAGGAAAACCCAGAAAGATACGGATAAATGGTGTAGCTAAAACCTGCAAAAAGATGAACAAATCCATCACTTAAACCACCCGAGAAGCGCAAGACAAATACAGAAAACCACGACACTGGGCTACTACAACCTGGTATCACTGAGCCGGCATTTTGGGTCTCCCACAATATTTTAAGTGAAGCTAAAGCTGGGATTGGTCGCGGTACTTACCAAGTGGTGCATCTGTTTATTTGCCTATAAATATACCGCAGCTAGCATCAGTGTCCGCATTAGAGAAGTGGACAAATGTTTTCTGATAACGTATTCCTACACTTTTATATCAGGATAAGAGGGAGGAAGAAAATAAACATTTTAAAGATTAAAACAGATCTCAGATGTACAATGTAAAAACTGCAGCCGAAATCACGGACTTGTAATAAATATTCAATGTGAAACATTTTTGTTGTTGAAAATGAGGTGTTGTGTAAATGGCATTTGCAAATAAATCTAAACAAAATATTAACGAGAAAGTGTAAACAATTGTGATGATAAATTAATGAATTCGTTAATGTAAATCATCAATGCTTTAGCACGTACATGCATTACTGTTCCCACCAAGTGTAGACTTGTCTATACAAACGTGAGCTCTCTGAGTGCAGTGTGGATTTAGTTACAGCGAATATTAACGTGACTGCTACAAGTTTATATTGCCCCGTGTTATGATTTTTAATGCACTCGGTACCAAGCCCCTATTCTTGTGGTGGTGGGGGCAAGTGTTGCGAGTGCCCATGCGTTGAGACGGCTTTGCTTGTTGATGTAATCATCATCATCATTATCATCAGGTACCTTGCCGACTGGCGTGGGCGATCATGCCTGTCCTCAATCTGCTATCTCCTGCAGCATGTATCAGTTCGTGTGCAGACACACCTCCATGCCTAGCATCAAGACTGTCAAGCATCTTCTCTCGTTATCTTCCCCTATCCCTCCTTGCACAGATCTTTTCCAGTGGTCACAACATGTTCTATTTTCCCTCTTCTCATAGCATGGCCACAAAATGATGACTGTCTCCTTCTGATGTCTGTGATAAGTTGTCTTCGGACTCCCGCCTCTTCCAAAAAACCTCTTGGTTGCTCTTTTTGTAATGTTGTTGTAATGCGACTGGTAAATAGCATACTGAGAGTAAATTCTTTTAAAAAAAAAAAAAACGTGAAAAAATTCCCGGGCAATTATTTCAGTATGTTGTTCTTGCTGTGTAGGATATCTGTTGTTTTGATATCCTGGTGACACCCGGTGGTACATCCACTGACGCTTCTGCACAAGCTGGTGGTTCTGAAGCTTTTACACGCTGTCGTACTTCTTGTTCGTTTGTAGTTGCACCCTGAAAAAAGAAAAAGAACACGATCATTTAGAAAATTGAAAGGAATAAAAATTATTGTCAAAAACTGGAGAGAAAAAAAAAGGATTATTATAAATATTAAAAGACAATGGTTCAATGGAGGAGATTACTGTATACATTTTTTTGGGGGGTATTTTTACTTTCTATCTAATTATTGCGCAGAGGGGAGAAAGTGGAATAAGGTTATGAAAGGGGGTGAAGTGGGGGAAGGGGTGAGGTTGTGGAAAAGGGGTGGGGGGGGGGGGACCTCTAAAGCTCTTTTTTCCTTAAAATTATTTCTTTTCTTCTTTGTTCACTGGCTGTAAGCTCCGTCTGAAAGTCCTGGTTGTTCGTCCATTTGGACTTTGGCTTTGTGCCAGGGCCTGAGTTTTACGTGTACATCCGTTTTACAGGCTTATTTGTGTAGCTTTTTTATTTTTGGCCGCTCGGGCAGATGCACTCTGACTTCGAAGTAAGCCTCCGATGATTCGACTCTTACGACATGCTTGTTGGGGAGCCAGTGGGTCTATTTTTGCTTTTCCCCACAATGGGGTCCCAGAACCCACACGGGGAAAATATATTGCAAGAAGCTAAGTAAGCTCCACCTTATCACCCGAAGATATTGCTTTTCTGTTTGTAAGCACTTAACTAGGAGTGGCTGGTCAAACGGTTGAAACGTTGGGCTCTCAAGCTGGAGACCCGGGTTCGAATCCAAGGTAAGCCTGGGGGTTTTGTCTGTTGTGGGTAAAATAACTTCTCACATGCACAGTCGGGGCGACAGCACTATCTATGTGGGCGTAAAACCTCAGGTTTTAAGCCCCCCTCCCCAGTAAATTTGTAATAAAGGCAGTTGTTGGCAGTTTTGAAGCATTTAATTATTTGATACATTCAAGATTATCTTCCATTACCACCAGTGCCAAACATGGACCCTTACGACAACTAATGAGCGGAAGATCGCAACAACAGAGATTAGATGTATTAGGAGAGCTGAAGGTGTGATAAGAGGAGATAAAACCAGGAATGAAGAAATTAGAAGACTCGATCTGAAACTAGTCATACAATTCATTACAGAACAACAAATGATATGGTTTGGCCACCTAACGAGAATGCCCTGGTACCAGCTGCCACAGAGAGCCACGCTGAAGAAATGTAATGAACACAGAGCAAGAGGAAGACCCCACAAGATATGGAGCGACATCATCAAGAGCAACCTAACATAAATGAATACCAACTTGTACAACTGGAAAAAAGCCCACAAACGATTCTTACTATCCCCCCCCCCCCCGCCCCCTTTTTTGGGCCCTCTTTCAAATTCCTCGCTGAGGTAAATGGTGGAAGAGAAGAAGAAGAATTCAGTAAATTATTAGATTTTTTTGCCAATTATGTCATCATTATCATTATCATAATCATTAATATTATCATTACAATAAATATTAGTTTTAGAATTAACAGTAGCAGTCATGTTTGTAATTTACTGCTACTATTCCTACTACTACTATTACTAGTGTCATTACCACTAACTGCTGCTGTTGCTACTAGTACTGCTACCGTTGTTGCTGGTGCTACAATCACTACAATTAAAACTCAAAGCTGCTGCTACTTCAACTACTACTACTACTACTACTACTACTACTACTACTACTACTACTACTACTACTACTACTACTACTACTACTACTACTACTACTACTACTACTACTACTACTACTACTGCTACTACTACTACTGTTGTTGCTGCTATTACTGCTGCTGCTATTGACTACTACTTTCTCCTTTATCTTCAGCAGACAATGGAGCTTGCTAGTGATGCATCACCTTGTAGCCTCATTTTGAATATAGTAGGTTGCGCAAGTGACGTCACATTTCAACTTGATCCGGATATCCGCACACGTCAGCTTCCGGTACAGCTGCAGATACAAATGGAACTTCAAAGTACTTTGAATATCCTCAAAGACAGGTAACATAGTTCGATTATTATAATTATTTGACAAACAAATTCAAAATATATTATACTTAAGATGCATAATCCACAATCCTAACAGATTGTTTTGCCGGGCTTCGTCCAGGATAATGAAAGATAGTTTTATTCTTGCCCGAGATAATAAAAGAAAGTTTAATTTTCCCGTCCTCTGCCTCATCGTGGTCTTCACCGCTGCCGTTTATGTGGTAGAAAATGCATGGAGTAGCGGGCACAATATGAGCTTTCCGTCTTTAAGTTTCTCTGGGATGCTCTCGTTTTCTTCAACACGTCAGTGTCCCATTAAAGTGCATGTGTAATGATTCTCTGTTCGTCACTTCTCAGAATTTTATGTAGCAAATATTTTTGTTTTCAAACTGGGCGCGGCAGCTGTCCCCTGAGTCACGGCCAGAGATGGAGTGGCAGGAGCCTCCTAGACCTGTTCTTCCCACAGTTAGCGCTACTGCCAAATTAGCGCACCTTCAGAGTGTTGGGGCAGTGGTTCGGGTCGTTACTCAGTGTTACAGTTCGGTATGTCGGCAGTCTCCCAAATCTGACAAACAAAACAACCACATCACCTCCTTTAAAGCTTTGTCCCAGTCTAAGTTTCAAGGGAAATGTAATTTAAAAAATTATTTTAAAGGATATAAGAGGGAAAAGTATTCAAACGAATATAACTTCAGCAAAAGTTTATTTCTACTGATTGTTCCAATAAATAAAAGAAATGCACAGTAATGTGGCCGCTAGTGTGACTTTTAAATTAAATGTGGTAACCGTAATGGCATTTGAAAATTTAACCCGTGAACACAATGAACACATAATGTATATAACAATTAAGAACCGTCGTGGCGTAGCGGCTAGACGGTCGATTGCAGATCGGAAGGTCACGGGTTCAGCAGCCGGACTATTTTTTACAAAATGGTATTGTCTCCCAAGTCAACTCAACCTTACTGGTTACCAGGTACAGTCCTCGGAAGTGAAAGCGACCGGCGTGATGCTGACCACATCCCCCACTGCGTGCCGACTGGTCTATAATCTATAAGTCTAGCCCTATGTGCTCAATACGCCCGAAGGCGGGGAAAAGTATCATTTACTTCACTGTACAAAACTAAGTGCACCCGTCAGGCATCTGATAATACAACTTAAACCGTTTAGTGAAAAGAAAAAAAAAAAAACGCAGTCGTGCCGACTCATGCAGCCAGAGTCGGTCGAGATTTCTCCACTCATATGTGAATAATAAGACACACACCAAGACCCCCAGAAAGAATGTTTAAGCCATGATTAGATGGGCATTGCCTGATTTGATGCTGTCATTATGGGTGATGTCACGTGATACTGTATTGTCCATACCTGTTGTTCAGGGCAGTTTTATGTCAGTACAATAGGTGTCCGCCCGTGGGTTCTTTCGTAATATCCTACCCCCCAGATGACGTCACAGGACAGTCCAACATTTTTGAGTTCGGTAAAACTGGGCTTCCCGGCTTTCTGATGCTTTAAACTACCCCAAATTATGTAGAAAAGGCCCTAACCCCAACCCACATACGTCCCACGGGAGAGTGCAGCCTAGGTCCTACTGTAACAGGGGACATCATCACTTGTTTTTTAGGAGGCAGGATATTGCGTATAGCAAAGATGCACCGTAATCAACAAGTTTTGAAAACCTTCTTTTCCCGCCAAAACTTACTATTGACGTCATCACTTGTTTGTCAGGAGGTAGGATATTGCGTATTAGTTGATTAGCTCTTATCATTTCTGTAATCGTTTCCCCCCTCCCTTTTTGATTTGCCCCCCACCACGCAACACGGTTCACGAAATTTGGTTCCCACGAATCTACCTTTATACATGTTTTTATGACAGAAGAGGCCAGCCTCGATAACTTTTTTCCATCTGTAGTTCACCATAGAGGATGTCCTTAGAAACTCTACTACCCTTCATTCTTCAGGTGTGACCGAGCCATTTGAACCTTCCAAGACTGAGCATTGGGAAAACTGTGGTAGTAGTTGCTATTTTGCAATACCTTAGTGTTTATGATCTTGTCTTGACACTTAATGCCAAGTATTCTTCTTAGGCATTGCAAGCAAAAGCTACTTACCGTTTCTCCTAAAGCGAACAAGCTGACCAAGTGAAGTAAAATAAGTAAATATCCCTTTTCACGCCTTACGCGCATCAGGCATATGGGAAAAGCATCCCCAATTTTTACAAACCAATCGGCACTAGGTGGGTAATGTGGTCAGCATTACGCCGGCCGTCTTTACTTCCCCAGGACATACATCCTGGTACCCATTTTAGGCTATACCCTAAGTATACCGATGGATTATTACACATATTATTATGAACTGATATAGCTGAAATGATAAAATGATATTAGATACAAGAAACCCTATGTTAAAACTGTTTCTTCCGCGTTCCATGACCCGTTAAGGAACAAATTATAAAATAAAAGGGACCAGTCATAGCTTGATTGGTTCACGTACGGGTACTTTTAAAAGCAGGAAGACATAAAGGCGTTATCTAGCCAAGTTTCCCAGTCGCTAGAGTTCTTGATTGCTGGGAGTTAATGGACATTATGTGTCAGCGGTTTTACTGTCTGTCTTTGTTCGTGTTAAGGTATGGTCGAGGACCGATGAATGTAAAAGTATAAGGGGCTAGGTCTCACACGTCCCTCCACACACACACACACGTATTGAGCATTTACCAAAAAGCTTAACAAACTATTCGGACAACAAATGTTCGGGGAAGGGGGGGGGGGGGGAGGGGGGGGGTGGGGGGGGGGGGGGGGGGGGGGGGGACAACGAATCTAAACACAAACGCACAAATGGCAGAAGAATACAGTTTTGACACGTCTGCCATTGCTAATCTGGTTTAGCCAACCTCATTTTGCCATCATTATTCTCAACCGGTGGAGGTCGTCAGGTTAACAAAGGGATGATTATTTGTATCCTATTTGTTGTAGATGATGAATGCGTCTCGGGACAGCTCGGACATACGTCTTCTGTCGTTACAATTTTACTGACGCTGCTACGCGTACAACTGAAGCCATCGAAATACAACAACTACTACCACCACCATCATCACAACAACAACTACTACTACTTATAATTCTACTACTACTACTACTACTACTACTACTACTACTACTACTACTACTACTACTACTACTACTACTACTACTACTACTACTACTACTACTACTACTGCTGCTGCTGCTGCTGCTACTACTACTACTACGTCTACAACAACAACAACTACTACTACTACTACTATTACTACTACTACTACTACTACTACTACTACTACTACTACTACTACTACTACTACTACTACTACTACTGTTGCTGCTGCTACTGCTACGTTATAGCATCAGAAGGCATTCTCTATTTAAGTGGGAAAACCATTTAATTTGCTGTCTTTGTAAGTAATTTAGAATTGGTTCTGTGCCGACTTGATCTCGTATGACCTCATTCCTTATGTTATATTTTCTGGTCACTGCTACAGCCTTTCTCAGACACCTCATTTCCATGGTTACTAATTTTCTTTTATGTTTTGTTGTGGCACTGGTAGCGTAGGGTGGGAATGAATATGCTTTGTATAAGATGTTTCTTTGTGCTGATTGGGATTGCCTCATGTTGTAAAAGGGAGCTAGCTGTCCCAATACTTAACCAGCTTTACTGCATCGGGTGTTGGTTTCTTTGTCATCACTAATTGGTTCTTTCATAATATCCTTTCCTAGATTACGTCACAAGACAGTCCAACAACCTAGAGGTTGGTAAGACTGGGTTTCCCAGCGTTGTGATGCTTTTAACGACCCGAAAACATATAGTACTGGCCCTAACACCAACCCACCTGCTTCCCACGAGAGAGTGCAGCCTAGGTCTCACGAATGCATGCAACATAGGTCCCACGACTGCATGTAGTCTATCTACCAAACCCCCCCCCCCCCCACCCTGAAATATTTGATTGTCCCGTGAATTTCCCATGATTGAGGTAGGATATTAAGAAAGCACCCATTAATCACCTATTATTTTGAGCGTCAGTTACGGACCCTACTCTTCAACCGGACATTAGACAGAAAAGAACGCTGAAATTTCCAGTCTGCGTCTGACATTTGTCCAAAAAAAAAAAAAAAAACTATCTCAAAATATAGCCATTGTGAACACACTTTCTCATCTTCCTGGAGTGTCTCCTTCATCGGTCAAAGACGACAGACGGGTTTAGAGGGCAATTTTCTTTGAGCAAACTCAAACAGCGGACCAGCTGAAAGATTGCCTTAATTGGGCGTGGGACTGTCGATCGGTTAGCACTTATCATGTCGTTACCGGCACAAGAAACTGCAAGTTACCACTGTAGTCGTTACGGGTGCACCAATTACATCTTCTTTGGAGGCTGAACTGTGTATCTGCCATCTGGTTTTCTATCCACACTAGGATTTTGTAATCTTATGGTACCCAGTGTGTTAGTAGTAGCCCGGATGAAAGAAAAATTTAACGCGAAAAAAAGAAGGAATAGGTTGAATGGTTATAGACACGTAGTTTGTGTGTGAGTGTGTGTGTGTGTGTGTGTGTGTGTGTGTGTGTGTGTGTGTGTGTGTGTGTTTTAATGGACCAGTCGACACAATATCAACCGACTGTCTTTACTTTTCAGGATAATTCCAGGCACCGATTTTTCATTTGGGTCGGCACGGAAACACAGGTTAGTTAGTCAGATCAGCTTCCATGTTGTTTTAAACCTAAGACATTCGAGACGTTATGCAGGCGTCTAGACATGGAACGCCTCTCCCCCAAAGGTAAAGGTTTAGGTTATAATTGTGACTAGGTTATGTGCGCCACATAAAATATCTTTGCACGTCACTGTGAGCTCTGAAAAGGAAGAACTATTGCAGTGTTGATGCCATTAACGAAGTCATCTACTGGCGAGCCAATGGGCGACCCCGTCACCGACGTTACAAAGACA